GAGATGTGATGATATTTCCTCCCTCCGGTGAGGAGTCTGGCTGCTGCATTCTGCACCATCTGAAGTTTCCGTATCAGCCTCAAAGGTAGCCCCACGTAGAGCGCGTTGCAGTGATCTAATCTTGAGATTACGAGCGCATGTACTAAGGTAGTGAGGGCCCCCGTGTCGAGATAGGGCCGCAGCCGGGCAATCCGCCAGAGATGGAAATAGGCGGAGCGGACGACCGACGTCACCTGTGTTTCCATGGTGAGCGTCGGGTCCAAGTGTATGCCCAAGCTGCGGACCCCGCTCACTGGGGCCAAGGTCGCCCCCCCAAAAGAGAGAGGGCCAACCAGGCCACCAACTACGGGGGGCCCCACCCTCAGGACTTCCGTCTTGTCCGGGTTCAGCCGGAGGCCATTTTCCTGCATCCATTTCAGTATGGTCTCCAGGCAGCGCTGGAGGGTCAGGACGGCATCACCTGCAGTTGGCAAAAAGGAGATGTAGAGCTGAGTGTCGTCAGCGTACTGGTGACACATCGCTCCACACCTCCTGATGACGCCCGCTAGCGGCCTCATATAGATATTAAATAGCATTGGGGAGATAATCGACCCCTGTGGAACCCCACAATTGGAGCTCCACGGGGCCGAGACATTCTCCCCAAGCTGAACTCTCTATTGATTTAAATCATTGATTTAGATCATATTTTCCAGGGCTAATATATCTTAGTGGGTTGGAGTGAATGGCTTGGGAATCAGAGGCTAAGAGTTCAAATGTGTACGTACTTTGCTTCTAGGAAGAGGGGCTTCCTGAGAACATTCAGTCAGTCTGTGTAGCCTTGGACAAGCCGCATGGCTCTAGAGCACCCAGAGAAGAACGGAATGTTGAACTACTATTAAGTACGCTATACCTAGAAAATCATGAACAGGGTCGCCATAAGTTGTATCAATCTAATGCCGTGCCATTATTATTGTATGGGTTATAATTATAGAGTCCTTTGTAGTTGCCAAAGGAAGATTCTTTGTGATCCAAATTGGATGAGAAGAAGGACATTTGTTGTGTAATTACTGACCAGTGGAACCCTAGGGCTAGACGTTGTCTCATCCTCCTGCTTATGCCTGACACATGAGCTGACAAAAATGTATGTTTCCCTGAAGACCTGATTGAGATGTGAGTTGGGAAATGCTGTATTGGAGTCAACTCCCATTAAGTAAGTCAGCACTGAGGTCTGGGAAATTATTCTCCTTTTTTGCATTCTTGGCCTTCAGGTTGTTGTTTTCACTAGTTGCCTGGAACAAACCTAATCTTAATTCTGTTGATCCCCACACAATACAATAGTATGTACACACTGGACTCTAGAGTCCCTATTTCAAGAGCAAGATCCTGGCAAGATTATCATCAGGCCAGTCATATTTTTGTTCTCACCCTCACCCCCACCCCTGGACCTATTCCCTGGAAACTAAAGTATAGTATTAGTATAAATAAACAAACACATGTAAATCAGCAGATTGCCTTTTTAGCTTTTGTTCAGGTAATGTGGTGACTCTCCTAGTGTTCTGCCGACAATTTCTGCCAAAGACTTAACGAAAACAAAACTAATCCATAGTTTTGTCTTTGGCATAGGTTTTGAGTGAAAAGCACAGTGCTCGTTTTGGAATGATCATCAATAGGACCCTGCATGGGTTATATCAATCATGGGTGGTGTTGCAAAGTGCAGGATTTTTTATGCTGCACAACACTGCAAAATTACCATAATATTTTGACATCATTTTTGAAAGGATCAAAATTCTTGGGGTTTATGGTTAAACTTTGACTGACTCTGAACTTTTCTAGGGTAAATATGCTTCCGCCTCCCATCTACCCTAGAAGTCTCATCTTCTGTCTTTCATACTTTCCATGTGTCAGTGAGCTTGTCTTTAAACAAATTGAAAAATCCTGTTGATAAGTGCCTTGATTTACACAAAAGCTTGGTTCGCATCAGGTCACCCTTGGGCTTTGGTTTGGGAGCTTCTGTATGTACAGGGGGCGTATCTGATACTTTTAACTGAAGTAGCTGTGCTTGTTTCCATGACAGCTTACCTGGCAATGGTAATTGCGGCCTGTATCTTGAATTTTCGCAGAGCCTTGGCCCTCTTTGTGCTCACTCTTCTGGGCATCTTTTTCATCTGTTGGGACTTTTTGATAGCCAGATATGAAGACAGAATCACAGAATTTCTTTCTCCTTGTAGAACATTTCTGAAAAACCAGTGGTTTTGGCTGAAATGGTAAATATATTGTGTTTTTCTTTTTCTGCAGCACTGAAACAACAAGGTGATTCAGTTTTGGTTTGTGATTATATATGTATTTATTCACTAAAATAACATTTTGAAATCATGAAATAGGCAGGAAATAGAAATGCATTTATGAACACTGTGAATCTCAAGATGTTATATCTTGATAACATTTCACAATTTTCTATTTCTTGGATAAGTAACATTAATTATATCCATAATATGTTAACTATAAAATAGGAAGTATCTATAGATTTATAAACTGATAGCAGCTTGATCCACAGCAAATAACAGATAATAATTGTTCCTCCGTGCGATCAAAACTATATCTCTGTGCCACTGAAGGCATATTACAGTGGACCGTCGACTTACAGAATGAATCCGTATTGGAACGGTGGCTGCCGGTAGAAAAGTCTGTAGGTTGAGGCTCCATTGACCTACAATGCATTGAAAACCGATTAATCTGTAACCAGCCAATTTTGTTCCATTTTGGGTTTTTTTCCGGTCTGTAGGTCGATTCTCCAGTTGCAAGTCGAACCTAAATTTTGTAGCCAGAGAAGTCTGTAACTCGAAAAGTCTGTAAGTGAAGCAGTCTGTAAGTCGAGGGTCCACTGTATAGGAACAGTCACCGATAACAGCAGTTTAATCCTGCATATTTGGCAATCTGATAAACATGGCTCATCTTATTTGAACATAATCAAGGAAAACGTAAATACTTGTGTGTTGTGTGTGCTATTGAAGATAACTAGTATATTTGTGGTAGGATATTAACTAATTTTAAAGTATTTAAATAATTTATTTGGGCCAAACATAAAATAAACAGGATAGCATGACATAAAAGGAGCAAATATTGGCTGGATCCAACTGGTAACTCAATCAACCGTCTGATCCTATGCATGTAGATTGCACAGAAGCAAGACCAATTGAATTCCTTGAGCCCTATTCCCAAGTAAGTAGCAGTCTTCCATGGCCTCACCCTGCTGTCTGGGAACATGTGGCTTGATGTTATCCACCACCTCTGAAGGGTACCAGATTGATGAAGACTGCGCTAACTGCTTAAATTACATTAATTTCAATGTGGTATAACAGCTTAAGCTATACACAAGGGCAGGGTTATATCTGTCTTTTAATTAACATTGGATTAGGTTTCTTAACTTTCTGGAACTAGATGTAATTACAATAACTAAAGGATGGACACAACTTAATTAGGCAAAATTCTGTTACTGTACTGATTGGATTTTTGTCTTTTCCTGAAAGTACTAGAAAGAGGCCTGTTATGAAAAGATAACAATCACAGTATTGAAAAACCTTACATTTCCTGAATACGGTCACTAAGACAACTGTATCTGATTCCTTGAAATTTCAGGGTATTCCAGAGATTGATGGGCAGGTACTTAGAGCCTCACAGAGGTCGGCTTCTGTGGTACCATGAGATGAATCCCTGTTTTACTGTCAGGGTGAGTCCTTGGAAGACTGCAACTTACTTGGGAGTAAGGCTCACTGTGGCACTGCTGCTAGCCTCTGTGTAACAAGAAGGCAGTGCTGGTGCTCCCTGCTTTGCCTCAAATGACATTATAGGCCTATAATTCAAGCACCCTGTAGGTGTTTCAGCAGTCCTCTCTCCTTGTTACAGGCTTTTTTTTAGGGTGCTGGCATTGCAGCACAGACAAAAACACCCCTCATATTGAGTCAGTGATCTCCGGAAGCAAATGGAACTGAGTGGGGCTTGGGTCCCTGGTTTTAAAAGTGTTTTACATCCATGCTAGCATCACAGTATCTTCTCCAGCACTGCTCACCCTGAAAGCAGTCATCTTGCCTGAGATGTCTTCTGGTGCCCTGAGACCTGGAAATCCTAGTTCCAGATCTCTTTTGCTCATTCCTTGAAGCCAGCCTTAGCTATAAATGGGAGACCTACAAGGCCCTAGTCCTGTGGTTTTGCAGGACGGCTCCAACAGCCATCTGTGATGGCCTACCTGCTGCTTGGCAACCCACTTGCTCTAGCGGTCTAAGGTCAAACCAGCAGATTTATTCAGCCTGTGGTAGACTGCACATACATACACGGATGAATACACATCGTATGAATTATGAATGTAAGTGTACATCCATATATCTATATCTATGTTTCTGTATCCATGTAAATGGATAAATGAGATAAATAGTCCACCTCCCCCTTTCTGTCTCTGTGCTCCACCATATCATTCATTGCATTGTTTGAAATCCTTTTATCTAGGGTAGTATGGATTGCACTAACAGCTGCCGTCGTGTGCTGGCTTGTCTTCGACACTGCCAAGCAAGGAACCAACCAACTCATTTCTTTTGGTGGGCTTGTAATGTATGTTCTCTTGATGCTGATATTTTCCAAATACCCAACCAAAGTGAGTATTTACTGTCTTTCATTTGCCTTTTTAGTTTAATATACTGTTTGCTGTCCACTACCCCAGCTTTCCCCAACCTGTGTGACTACGGCTCTTGTCTCCTTGAAGCGTGGTGATGGGAGCATGTTTTTAAGTACTGTACTGTACCAAGTTGCAGAAGAACACACTGACTATGAGGAATCCTGTGGAGTCTTGGGTTGCAACAACAAAGCAGGAAAAAGGCCAATGGTTCTGCTGTAAAATCGCACCTGGGAAATCAGGTCTCCCAGGTTAATTCACTTCAGACTATCACATAGGAGTGAGCAATGAGAGGGGAAGAAATCAGCCTTGTTTGAAAATTGTTTACCCTTGGAATTCTCCCTATACCTAGTGTCTGAGCCTGCTTGTTTTTTTCCCTTTCCTTCATATTCTTTTTCTTTCTTTCTTTCTTTCTTTCTTTCTTTCTTTCTTTCTTTCTTTCTTTCTTTCTTTCTTTCTTTCTTTCTTTCTTTCTCTTTTAAAGGCTTGCTTTCATAGTACAAGACCAACTAACTGACCAAAGAGGGGAGGGGAATGTGAGGAAGGAAGCAACAGAAAAAGCAACGCTTGTGGTCCTCCCAATAGATACTTCTTACTTGTTTGACATTAGACCCTTTGGGACCACTGCAATCAAAAATGAGATCTATTAGTCCAATATATGATGCTTCAATTTTTAATGGTTTTCGTGGTTTCTGATCTTTTTTTCCTTGCTTGCATGCATAGGTTGTATGGAGACCAGTTATCTGGGGAATAGGATTACAATTTATTCTTGGATTAATAACCTTGAGGACAAAAGTAGGATTTGACTCATTCAGTTGGCTGGGACAGCAAGTGCAGGTAAGCCATGAGTGAAGCATATTGTCAACATTCTTGTCTTTATGAATGAACCAAGAACTGTGGTGGTAAGAACTATGGGAGTCCTGAGTACCAGCAAGAGAAGGAGGGAAGCAGCATAGGTGACTGTGCTTGGTGGGGATGGCCATTCCTTGAACATGCCATGGTGGCTGGAAAGCAAGGGATTGGGAAGATCATCCCTATAATGTCTGGCTAGAGCATGTCCTGATACATGTATAACTCCTGGCAAAGACAAGAATGGCAACCATTTTTCTCACTTGGGCTTCTGCACCTCCAGTTGAAAGTATCTCTGGTTAATAGGTATTAGAAATATCATTGCCTGTTGACAAGGGTCACGATAAACAGAGTTAGGCAAAATAGGCCAGTATGTCACTAAATACAATCTGTCTACTCTACACCATTGTAGCAACATTTCAGTCCCATGCATGTTTACCTAAAACTGTTTGCCCAGTATTTTATGGATTATTTCCCTGACTATTAACACTATCAGTCTCCATGGTTTTTAATCTGTTTATAACGGTTTTATTAGTTTTTAAATTGTTTAATTGACTTAGCTATGTTTTGCTGTATTTCTTCTTGGTAAACTGCTTTGTTTTTTTAATGAAGTACAGAATCATTTAAATAAAAAAATAAATAATTAAGCCCTGAGTTTGGTTTCAGTTGTGCTTACTCCCAAATAAGTACAGAACTTTCATATTCATAAAGAAATGGCCAGAATAGAATCTGATGTACAACTTACCTTTGAGGAGATTTCACAGCAGGAATTGCTTTGGAGTAAACCCAAGACTTGAAAATTTAGTTTAAGAAAAAATGTCTATAATTGCAAACTGAAGTTATTCATAACTGAGCATTGGTAGGATGATGCTCTGGGATCTACAGTTTCTGTATAACATTACTATTGTATTAATTATTTCTTAAAATATTTTTCTGAGTTCCATACGTTGATTTATTCATATGACTTTTGCTTTATGAACTGATAAATTGTGACAGTATAAGGAACCAACAAGTTTAACTTGTTTAATGTCCTGTGTGTATATCAATTAAATCACATCATTGTTATTTAACTATAGCTGTTATCACCCAAGCACATTCCCTTTGTTCATTTTGGTTTTTAATGTTCAAAACTGGTCTGGCAAATCACATTTTTAATACAAGGAAATAGTGTGACTGTATTTTAAGGGCAACTGATAACTCTCTTAGTTGCTTCCTTGTTTTGGAAGCAGCGCTAAATTTACAAAAACTGTCAAGTGCCTGAACTGTGGCTAGTGATCTCTGGCTTTCTCTGTTTTCAGCAATATTTCACTCACTTCTGATTATTTTTGGCTGTGACAGGAGGAAACCTTTGAGATCTAGTCTAAAACTGCTTTTAGTGTTTTAGTCTAGTCTAAAACTCCCTTTAGAGCACAAAGAATAGCACCCACAGCAAAAGTGGGCAGATGGTGCTGGGAGGAATAAATTCATAAAAATCCAAACCTAACCTGCAACTAAGAACCATTCTCTGGTCCTCAGTCATTGCTTACCTCCTCTGCAGTATCTGAATGTTTCTTTCACTGTAGCAATATCTCTGTTCATGCATTTTTGCACAGTGAATCCTTAGTGAAGAATGGATATGAGAACGTGACCCAATCCTCTCAATATTCTATGTGTCCATTTAAAAACATTAAAGCACTCTCTCTCTCTCTCTCTCTCTCTCTCTCTCTCTCTCTCTCTAACTGGGGTGTGTGTGTGTTAAGGGACCCATAGAGTCATAGAGTTCCAGATCATAACAGTAACATCAAAAACCCAAGTCCACATGGGAGAAACCCATGGAATGGCTATGGCTTCTCCCTATGTCATGTTTATCCTCCTCAGGCATTAACTTTGCAGTGGGGCATTGTCTTCCTTGGTGCCACTTCCTCATCCAAGCAGCACATGGTTTCAGTTCTTAGGTCAGCTCAGCCATATACCTTCTGGAATCTCTGGCAATATTAATGGTTGTCCTAGATAGTCCCACTCGGTTGTTTTCAACAGACTCACCTACAAAGGCTTACCATTTAAAACATACCTGGTGAGTTCAAGGGAGCTGGTATACCTCAGTGTGTTGGGGCACATGGCTACAGAGCTAGAAGCCAAGAATGTGTGATTGTGCCATGCCTTCTGGGATATAGCCAGCCAAGATCAATGTATGTGGTTGTGGTTGATGGGTTATGAACCCTGCCCGCTGTGTGGCCTTGGGCCCAGAGCACCACCAGAAAGAGGGACTGGTAAACCACTTCTGGGTATTTTATACCTAGAAAATCCTGGGAGAGTACCTGGACATTGGAATCAACTTGACAGTGGATAATTAGTTATAAATTATTGAATTCAAGATGACTGAGTAGGTTACAATGTCCTAGTATGCTATTGTCCAGCAATTTCCAAAGAAATTCCTTAGGATATATTCATTGTGATTTTGTTTTTTAATTATGTGTGTTTTTTCTTTTTTTATCTAAGACCTTTTTGGAATACACAAATGCTGGTGCTGAGTTTGTGTTTGGAGAAAAATATACTGATCACTTTTTCGCCTTCAAGGTAAGTTGTTATTACTTACACGGTATTTGGCACAGTGTCAATTGTACGCTGTAAGAAGATGTTCAAGAAAGGCCTGCAACCCAATGTCACTGTTTCATTTCCTTTAAAAAAAGATGCTTCTTTTTAGAGTTCCAGTCAGCAACTCATTGATGGAGGGTTTGGATGAAGGGACAGGTGGCATGCCTGTCTTGCTGGAACAACGTGACACTCTGACCTAACTTTTTCATCTGAAGGAGGAAGATCAGGTTCAAATAAAACATTGTTAACGTGCATATAAGAACAATCTTTGTTGAGGATCTTCAAGAAGAACCAAGAGCACAGATCAAGCGGAGTTGTTTATACAGTACAGACTTTTAGAGTACTACCACAAATTCTTCCTGTTACTTTTATTTTAATGAAAAGTAACTTCCAAAAAGAAGGTCCAGAGGCTATTAGTTGAGTGTCAGGGGGCTGTTTTCAAAAAGACAGTCTTGACTCAAAGTGCCCCTTCTAATTTACCAATCAATAAAATGTCTCTTGAAGACCTTCTGTCTTTTCTCTCCTGGGCTGGAGAAAGAGCAGCCAATACTTGACCTATTTAGAATGACATGTTGCCTGGCAATCAGCCCTTTGCTTCTATTTGCTACTTGAGTGAAGAAGAGAAAGCAATAACTTCCCTTCGCCCAACTCTTGCTCAGGCCAAGAAGTTATTAAGTTAAACTTCTTATTTATTTTTAAAATTCGCAGCACCATGACCAAAATCCAAGGGCAAATTGCTTCAAGTTAAGAAATTGTCATAAACATTTTGTGTTGCAAGCTGAATCATGTGATTCAGTACCCAACAAATAATACCTACATTAGTTTCTTAACTTGAGACAATTTGTGGGTGCACACATCTCAAGTTAAGCCATTAGCATTATGCCAGTATAATTACGGAAGAGCTCACTGGGCAAAATCCTCCAAAAAAGTTTGAAAGACTTCTATGTATTTGACCATCTGACACTGGCATTTGGTTTGACCATTTTTCCCCTTCAAAAGAACATCCTCTTCCTGCCCCTTGTAATACATATGGCACAGCATGTTCATATGGAATGTTTTAGGCTGTGACTACAAGGTCAGGTCCTGTGGGATTTGCTCCACTTATAAAGTGGGTGAATTCAAAGTGTTTTTTACTGACCATGTGACACAGAGGCTGATTCAAACTGATCCAGTCTTTTTTTTTTAAATCCCAAAACACTTCCCCCCCCCCGCTGCTGTGGGGCTTCTACATTTTTAAGCCAGAATGATTCAAATGAGCTTTTCTCCATGTGCGTAGTTGTAGTACATTATTGTAATGTAAAGATGGTGTGTGTGTCTGTAGGTGGCATTTCAATGAATATGCAGTTGGGATATGATGTTCAGGACCAGGGGAACATGCCCTCCTGCATTCTTTCTTCTCAGCCTATAATCCTCTGAATGTTTTTATATTTTTAAAATTCTGGCATAAAAATTAGTACTAGATCATCTTACCTTATTGCTGGGTCCTCATTATCTTTATTTCCTGCATTTATGTCCCATAAAAGAATTGGCAGAGGTAGGACCTGAGGAAGGAAGAAAATAAGGGAGGTCTATGGGCAGGAATATGAATCATATCACATCCTTTGTGAATGGTGAACTCCCAAATCAATCTGCAGCTTCTGCATGAGCACTGACTGCAGTTTTAAATGTAAACAAAGCACAGGCTCATCACACACCTTGTTTCTTAAGAAAAATGCAGACTTTTTGCTACCATAACTGAGAAATTAGGTGGTATAGCAACAGTAAGACACAGCTTTGAGAATGATGGGGGCAACCTCTGCAATCCTCCACCCCATTTAATCACCTATCACTACTGTGAAGGAGTTTTCCCCTCAGCTTGTATAGCAAAGCACTTCACTATGGATTTCTAACATCAGTTAGAGGAGTCAAGCTATGGGAGAAAAAATGCACAAGTATGTCTGACATTTTGACACACGTGACTGAAACTAAGGGAGATTGTTATTCCTATTTACATGTAGTCCAGTACTAATTGCGGCAATATATTGTGCCTAGATTGTACCATTTACCAGTGGCTGGGTTATTTACTAAAGTCATGATCTCAATCCTCTCAGTGCCACCTGCTGACTTTATGTAGGCAAAACAACACCTTCTATGCACAAGAAGGAATTACCAGCAGGATTCGGGGAACCCCAAGTTTAACAGATTTACCTGTGACAAGAAAACATCTCTCCCCAAGCCTCCAGTGAAAGACAAGTAGGCTTTTGTACATATAGAGTGCTGGCTGTTTGCAGAGGGACTGAAAATCAGGCGGGAAGAAGAATTGAATGGAATATTAATTCAGGATCAAATGTTGCTGCATGGAGTGAACAGGAACAGTCCATACACAACACTTGACTGCAGGTCCACTTCTATTTCTGCATGCTCCTCTATATTTTTTTTTAAAGATCTACACATAGGAAACAAGACAAGTCAGAAGAAAGGTTTTAGCCTCACCTTCTCCATGATATTTTTGTCTGTACATGTTCTAATTTATATGGATGAGTACAGTTGGGACACAGGTTTCCCCTCTCAGTGAAAACGAGGTCATAATCATAAGTATTTCTAGTTGGCTGGAGATAGATGATGTTCATTTGGGAACTCTTCAGTTTGGGACCAACTTTTCTCGGGGAGTTGATTTATCTGAAATATTGTAAGAAGGAAGAGTTCAGTGTTTTTGCCCCATTCTCTCCACCCCACCCCCATTCATTTTTCACACATAAAGTGTTTTTAAAAAGAACGTGTGTACCTGATTTTAATAAGAAACTGACATGGATTATTTCCTGACCCCACTGGAATTTCAGCATAATAAGGGAAATACAGTATATATCTCTTGTATTTCATGAGTCCCTTAGAATCCCATTGTTCCCACTGAATGCTGCCAACCTTTTTCTTGTTTAGTCATTAAATCATGTCCGACTCTTCGTGACCCCATGGGCCAGAGCACGCCAGGCCCTCCTGTCTTCCACTGACTCCCAGAGTTTGGTCAAATTCATGTTGGTATTTATTTATTCATTATTTATTTATTTATTTTATTTCTATCCCGCCTATCTGGTCATACTAGACCACTCTAGCTTCAATGACACTGTCCAACCATCTTGTCCTCTGTTGTCCCCTTCTCCTCTTGCCCTCACACTTTCCCAACATCAGGGTCTTTTCCAGGGAGTCTTCTCTTCTCATGAGATGGCCAAAGTATTGGAGCCTCGGGTTCAGGATCTGTTCTTCCAGTGAGCACTCAGGGTTGATTTCATGCAAAATGGATAGGTTTGTTCTCTTTGCAGTCCAGGGGATTCTCGAGAGTCTCCTCCAGCACCACAATTCAAAAGCACCAATTCTTCAGCGGTCAGCCTTCTTTCTGGTCCAGCTCTCACTTCCATACATCACTACTGGAAAAAAACATAGCTTTGACTATGCAGACCTTTGTCAGCAAGGTGATGTCTCTGTTTTTTAAGATGCTGTCGAGGTTTGTAATCAGTTTCCTCCCAAGAAGCAGGCATCTTTTAATTTCATGGCTGCTGTCACCATCTGCAGTGATCATAGAGCCCAAGAAAGTAAAATCTGTCACTGCCTCCATATCTTCCCCTTCTATTTGCCTGAGGTGATGGGACCAGTGGCCATGATCTTAGTTTTTTTGATGTTGAGCTTCAGACCATTTTTCCTTTCTATTATTTTCCTTTGCACTGTTCATTTAGCATGGCCTTCTTGTCTCTCCTTGCTATTCTTTGGAAGTCTGCATTCAATTTTCTGTAACTTTCCCTATCTCTCTTGCATTTTGTTTCCCTTCTCTTCTCTGCTTTTTGTAAGGCCTTGTTGGACAGCCACTGTGCTTTCTTGCATTTCCTTTTATATTGGGATGTTTTTTGTTGCTGCCTCTTATACAATGTTATGAGCCTCCATCCATAGTTCTTCAGGCACTCTGTCCACCAAGTCTAGTTCCTTAAATCTGTTCTTCACTTCCACTGTGTATTCATAACGGATTTGGTTTAGATTATACCTGAGTAGCCCAGTGGTTTTTCCTACTTTCTTCAGTTTAAGCTTGAGTTTTGCTATAAGAAGCTGATGGTCAGAGCCACAATCAGCTCTAGGTCTTGTTTTTGCTGACTGTATAGAGCTTCTCCATCTTTGGCTGCAGAGAACATAATCAATCTGCAAATTTCAGTATTGCCCATCTGGTGATTTCCATGTGTAGAGTCATCTCTTGTGTTGTTGGAAAAGAGTGTTTGTGATGACCAGCTTGTTCTCTTGACAAAACTCTATTAGCCTTTGCCCTGCTTCGTTTTGAACTCCAAGGCCAAACTTATCTGTTGTTCCTTTTATCTCTTGACTCCCTACTTTAGCATTCCAGTCTCCTATAATGAGAACATTTTCCTTTGGTGTCAGTTCTAGAAGGTGTTGTAAGTCTTCATAGAATTGGTCAATTTCAGCCTCTTCAGCATTGGTGGTTGGTGCATAAACTTGGATTACTGTGATGCTGAAATGTCTGCCTTGGATTCGTATTGAAATCATTCTATCATTTTTGAGATTGTATCCTAGTACAGCTTTTCCCACACTTTTGTTGACTATGAGGGCTACTCCATTTCTTCTACGGAATTCGTGCCCACAATAGTAGATACGATAATCGTCTGAGTTGAATTTGCCCACTCCCACCCATTTTAGTTCACTGATGCCCAGGATGTCAATGTTTATTCTTGCCATCTCCTGTTTGACCACATCCAGCTTTACCAAGGTTCATAGATCTTACATTCCAGTCTTGTCTCTCCTTGCTATTCTTTGGAAGTCTGCATTCAATTTTCTGTAACTTTCCCTATCTCTCTTGCATTTTGTTTCCCTTCTCTTCTCTGCTTTTTGTAAGGCCTTGTTGGACAGCCACTGTGCTTTCTTGCATTTCCTTTTATATTGGGATGTTTTTTGTTGCTGCCTCTTATACAATGTTATGAGCCTCCATCCATAGTTCTTCAGGCACTCTGTCCACCAAGTCTAGTTCCTTAAATCTGTTCTTCACTTCCACTGTGTATTCATAACGGATTTGGTTTAGATTATACCTGAGTAGCCCAGTGGTTTTTCCTACTTTCTTCAGTTTAAGCTTGAGTTTTGCTATAAGAAGCTGATGGTCAGAGCCACAATCAGCTCTAGGTCTTGTTTTTGCTGACTGTATAGAGCTTCTCCATCTTTGGCTGCAGAGAACATAATCAATCTGCAAATTTCAGTATTGCCCATCTGGTGATTTCCATGTGTAGAGTCATCTCTTGTGTTGTTGGAAAAGAGTGTTTGTGATGACCAGCTTGTTCTCTTGACAAAACTCTATTAGCCTTTGCCCTGCTTCGTTTTGAACTCCAAGGCCAAACTTATCTGTTGTTCCTTTTATCTCTTGACTCCCTACTTTAGCATTCCAGTCTCCTATAATGAGAACATTTTCCTTTGGTGTCAGTTCTAGAAGGTGTTGTAAGTCTTCATAGAATTGGTCAATTTCAGCCTCTTCAGCATTGGTGGTTGGTGCATAAACTTGGATTACTGTGATGCTGAAATGTCTGCCTTGGATTCGTATTGAAATCATTCTATCATTTTTGAGATTGTATCCTAGTACAGCTTTTCCCACACTTTTGTTGACTATGAGGGCTACTCCATTTCTTCTACGGAATTCGTGCCCACAATAGTAGATACGATAATCGTCTGAGTTGAATTTGCCCACTCCCACCCATTTTAGTTCACTGATGCCCAGGATGTCAATGTTTATTCTTGCCATCTCCTGTTTGACCACATCCAGCTTTACCAAGGTTCATAGATCTTACATTCCAGGTTCCTATGCAGTATTTTTCTTTGCAGCATCGGACATTCTTTCCACTTCCAGGTGTGTCCGCAGCTGCATGTCCTTTCGGCTTTGGCTCAACCACTTCATTAGCTCTGTTCTCAGTAGCATGTTGTATGCCTTCCCACCTGAGGGGCTCATCTTCCAGTATCATATCTTTTAGCCTTTTGTTTCTGTCCATGGAGTTTTCTTGGCAAAGATACTGGAGTGGCTTGCCAGTTCCTGCTCCAGGTGGATCGCGTTTAGTCGGAAGTCTCCACTATTACCTGTCCGTCTTGGGTGTCCCTGCACGGCATAGCCCATAGCTTCTCTGAGTTACTCAAGCCCCTTTGCCATGACAAGGCAGCAAACCGTGAAGGGGCTGCCAACTTACCAACCACCAATATAACCTTTCTGTGTTCAGAGGTACTTATTTAAAATATAATAATTTCTGATTCTTTTTCTTGGAGCTCTTGCTATGTGGGACAATAGCATTTTGGTACTCTCAACAGGTGCTTTCTGTCAGCGTTCCAGTAATGAATTTGAGATGGGCAGAACAGAGAGACACCCAATTACCTGATGTTCCGATCATTGTGAATATTTTGCTTTTCTTTTTTTAATTCTTCCTCACAAGCAAGCTCAGAATATGTCAGAATTATACTTTATAAGCACTCCGTGTTCCCGCTTACTGATGTGCATTCTCGTAGTATCTTTGATGCAATAATCAAAGGCATTCTTGAGGACAACAGCTGGCCCTGAATAACAAATGGTTGATGTAGCTTATTTATAGGTAAAACTCTGTCCAAGTAATCCTGATTTCTATGACACTCAGCAAAATAATATGGGCCAGAAACCTAAAATTCAAGCTAGTGTTATTATTTCATGCAGTTGTGTGGTAAGTTTCATGTGCCTGTATAGATATACCAGTGATTCTCAAATAGTGCACCAATGAAAACTTAAAAACAAAACTGGAAAAAAATCACACCACAGTAGCCACTATTCTATAGCTTTTGAGTGCTGTTGGCACATTAACCCCTTCCCTCCTGGCCAATATATAGCTATAACTGTAGCACCAAATGTCTTTCATCAACTCTATTAGTTATATCATCTATGTCCCTTCTTAGAAAACCAGCTAATCTTCACCATAGTCATCTGTGGAATGGCAATTTTCAAATAGGATCACTGCTATGAACTGTATCGGTGAAGAGTGGGTATTTCAAACAGTTTGAGTAGGGTGGATGGGTTGGTGCAATGCTGATATAAAGTCTGTCGGGTCCCAGGTAAACCTGTTCCTAGTTAAAAGTAGCCTTCCTCACCTCAACACACAGTGTTAAACTACAGCCTTCATCATTCTGAACCATTGTCATGTCCTTGCTTTCTGTGGGTTATGAGAATTGTAGTCTAGCACACTTGAAGGGCCTCAGTTTGGAGAAGGCTGTTTTAAGATAATTGGCTCCAAATGTTTCCATCTTCAAAAGTGAAGTGGATGGAGTCTGAGGACAGGTGTTTCTCTTCTGTGGCATTCAGACCATGGAGTGCCTGTCCCAGGCATCTCCATCCGGCATACACTAGGGATGCTGTAATACCAATTTTGTTTAGTGATCTATGAAATTTGGTGTTTTGTGAATAATCTCTGCTGTCAGTATTGAAGACAGTTCTTAAGCCTTTTTTTAAAAAATTGTCTTAAGTCTATGAGGTGGAAAGAACTCTGATTTTTTTCTAGGTAGGCATTTAGAAAAGGGGAAACTCTTGATGGTGGAAACTTTTTTCTTTTACCTTTACATTAGGTGCTGCCTATAGTCATCTTTTTCAGCACAGTGATGTCCATGCTTTACTACATTGGATTTATGCAATGGCTTATTAAAAAGGTAAAAAAAAACTTGGGTGCTCTTCCAGATACAATGGATTATAAAATCTCACCTGATCAACTCATATCTGGTGTTAGGTCTTGGGCAGGGCATGGGAAGTGTGTGTGTGTTTGTGTGTAGTTGTCACAATATATGTTCTCCACAGACACAGAAAAACAGTCAATCTATTGATTGACCTCTGAAAAACTAATATAACACACTGGCTGAAATACTGTTGCTTAGCATGGTAGGTTGCCACTAGAGTAGGCCCATTGAATCAGTGCAGAATTGTTGAGTCAACTCCTTCCTAAGTTCCATTGTTTCAATGAGCTGACTTAGTTGCAACTCACTATGCTAAGCAACAGCATTTCAACCACTATGATATTACAATGTGGTGCAAATGCCTGGAAATAGTGGATATTTACCTCTTTGGGGAGTTCTTATATACAGTCAACTGACTACATTTCATCAAGGCTGCCTAACTGTTAAAAAATTTCTATACACCTTGGTTTGTGTGCTTCTGAGCACACAGAGGCACACAACAGAAAGGGTTTTTTAAAAATATGCTGTCTTAAATAATAAAACTACAGTGTCTGTAGTTAAATTGTCAAGATGGAGGCTATAAGCAGTTTGGGCATGGTATTATTTGGTTTTACTACCGTAGGACCATATAAAATCAATTGTCTCTCACTGTCTCTAGACAGAGGGCTGCCAGGCACCCAGTGAACTTCCCATGAGACCTGTTTCTCTAGAGTATGGCAGGAATAATGCTCTGCAAGTGGGTGATGATATCTCCATATTTTAGATATATCCATGAAAAAATGAACTTACCGTTGTTTTAATTTCCCCATACAAATCTGTTGGAAGATTCAGATTCACAGCTTTCTATTCAGATTTGGGTCCAGATGGGATTTGATCAGGTCCATATTGGTCCAAACTAAAATCAGGCCTAAATTGGAATCACCAACATGGGTCCCAAACTGAATAAGGGGCAATTGCATAAACTATAATTTGCTATAAATAGCCCAAGAAAGCCTGATATCTTGAAAAGTGCAATTCAGATTTCTTTGACCCAGTCCAAATACTTGCTGTATCTCCCTGGCAACAGTCACTTAACCTGTCACCTAGGCCTCGCCTTCCCTACATTTGTGAATTGTAATTTTTTTCTATATTGTAATTTTTTAAAAAAGTATAGGTGAATGGCAGACCTAGCAGAAACGCTGATGAATATTGAAAATGTGTTAGCTTGCAGAAAGATTCACCTTTGGTGCTTTAAAGCATTTGAAAACATGGACCAACTTGAAAACACCAGAAAACTAATTTTCTGCTCTATAACCTCCTTTTTTAGGTTGGATGGATAATGCAAATTACCCTGGAGACAAGTCCAGTTGAATCTTTAGTTGCAGCAGGCAATATTTTTGTTGGACAGGTGAGTCTGTGCAATAGAAAAATAAGCTAATAGCTTTAGGGCAGACCTCTTAAATTAAAAATAGGCCATGTGGAAACGTCTATCATTATAAAAAGTCATTCCCTTCCCCCAGAGACAATATAAAAACATATGTGCTCCTTTTAGAACTGTATTATGCTCCGGTGATCAAGCATTTCCATTAATGAGGGAAGAATTTGGTTATCTCAGTTACATCAAGCTTCATGAGAACTACCTGAGCTGATGCCCTCCAGATATCTTGAGCAAAAACTCCTATCGTACGTCGGGACAAATCTGAAGGGCACCAACTTGGAGATGTGCAGCTTGAACCTGTTTAAACGTAATTTATTTTGAGCTTCTTAGCTTTCCTTATCCCATCCAAAAGGCTTTGTCTTGTTCCTGCCTCTGGTAGTAATATCTGTCTGAGCCTGGTTTATGTCACATGACACAGGAATACAATCATTATAAATTGGCAGGTTATGCCAAAAGGTTTTTCATCATATTTTACCACCTAAGCCATAAAATCTCACAGCAAAATCTTTCTGTCCTGACAGTAAAATATAATAATCAATAAATTAAATAGCTAAAAATTTGCTGTCTTTTTCAGATGTACCCTTAATCTGCCTGAGTTGTCTGCTTCACTCTGCTCAATGATAGGGATGGCCATTAATAGAAACCATATTCCTGAAAAACTTCTATACTTACACAAATATTTTAGTATACAGAAATAAAAATAAGTTGAGATGAAATGTTAAGTGTTATGTTAAATGTTATGAAATTCTGTGCATGGAATATGACAATATATGAAGATACACTTATTTACTCATTTACTTGCTTTTTAATTAATTTTTCCAATTTCTTTTACTCTTCAGTCAGAATCTCCTCTCTTAGTGAAGCCTTATTTGCCCTATGTAACCAAATCTGAACTCCATGCTATTATGACAGCAGGATTTGCCACCATTGCTGGAAGTGTCTTAGGAGCATATATTTCTTTTGGGGTAAGGATGGAAGCTTGTTAGATATTAAATTTTGTTTTCCAAGTCTTTCTTTCTTCTTTTACATGGTTCACTCTCCTGCCATAGTCCTTTAGCAGGAAGTAACATTAAATGGAACTGCAGTTCTCCCCCACACACACACACATACACACCAAACATTTATTTTTGGAGAATGCAGACATTTAAATTAGAGCTTTCATAGAGCCATAGAACTCTAGATCAGGAGAGGATACCCCCCCCAAGGCTCATCCAGTCCAACCCTGCCTAAGGGAACATTGACAGCTCAAGCATCCTTGACAGAGTGGTCTTTCAAGGTTCATTTAAAAACCTCTGGTTTTCCTACCATTTTTCCCCTGATGATTTTTTTTACTTTTGTAGAATGGAGGAAAAGAGATAGAATAGAAAAGAGGAATAATTTACAGTATGAGGAAAAAAGCAGTGCATGCACTATGGATTTTGGGAATATATAGGAGATCATATTCTTTAATATTATCTAGGCCCATGAAAATCTGTTAATATTTTTCTTATTACGTTTCGCAGTGTCCCACCGGCATTGCCATTTTACCATTTATTAGACTTGAATTTCTTTTTCACCATTCATGCATATTTTTCAAAATGCTAAAGTGCATATTTATATTGTTCATGCATGTATTTCCACAGGTTAAGCATGTGTGCAGATTTTTTGTTTAAGTTTGTGAACACGCACAGATGGTTTTGCACACATGCTGTTCTACCCAAAAGGCCTGATGAGCCTTGGAAATACATACAGAGCTTTCTGCACCCATAAAGCATTCTCTGTTCTCATAGCACTTAATCGTCTTAGTTTTTTTTTCCTAATGCTTTATATAGTTCTGCAAATCTTGGGTTCTCTTAAGCCTGCTAATATCTCTTTTAGACACTATTAGAGCCATTTTCGTGAAAATACCTGGTGAATTAAGATCCCCAATAGTATATACAAATTTTGGGATTCTCCTGGGCTTCTTTCATCACCTAGGATCTTCCTTTCACAAAGCTCCACCCTACACCTCTTGACAAGACCAATCTTTCTGATTTTTCATGCTGAGCTGTATTGGCAAAAGGGACACAAAGAGAGAACTACTTCATTACTTAGGAGAGCTGTAGTCCAGCTTATTTAAGAAGGTGCTGGGTTGGGGAAGGTTGCTACAAGAACGCATTGGGATCATCCTCAAATTTTGGTGTCTGAAGTAAACATTGTGTGATGGTTTTGCCCTTTGACATTTCAGGTGTCAGCTTCCCATTTGCTAACGGCTTCTGTAATGTCAGCACCTGCAGCATTGGCGATTGCTAAACTCTTTTGGCCTGAGACTGAGCAACCTCAGATAACTCTACAGCAGGGCACAAAACTGGGGAAAGGGTAAGGAGATTTATATTGGTGTGACAACAACCTTAGTCAAAATTGGGGAAAAGTAATATGAATAGGTTCAGTCATTATACTGATCAATGTTACATGTGGGCTGGTTTTGTGACCTCTGTTTGCCAGTGCTGCAAAAAAGTGTCAATGCTGCCATTGCCAATACAAGCAAGCTGCTGAAATATGTTTACTCTTTGGATTTTTATCTCTTTTCCCCTAGAAATGGCAGTTAGATTCAGCAATGCCACAGAAAGGACCCTTCCCTTCCCCTCCTCGCCACAGTAGCATTGTGGGCAGTATTGTTTTCTAAGGTTGCTGCAGTAGTACCAGCCACAACAGCTGTTCTTGGTGGTGGCCCCAAATTTCAGTGGTTGAGGCAGTAGTGTGGTTCCAGATGGGTTGAGGGATGCAATCTGCCCTCCCAGTAGTAAGTTGTTTATCCCTCTGGCAAATTTATTTATTTATTTATTTATTTATATATTTATTTATTTATTTATTTATTTATTTATACATACATACATACATACATACATACATACATACATACATACATACATACATACATACATACATACATACCCCGCCCATCTGGTCTATACGACCATTCTAGGCAGCAAATGGTCCTGTACTGTATGGTGTCCATTTAAAAAAATCTAAAACACCAACTTCTTGTTTCTAATGCCAATTTGGCAAGAACTTTAGAAGAACTCGCCATAGTTAATTTGGGCAGCATCTAGATCATGAACACTGAAACTATTCTGCTCGCCAGCCTCGCCAGCTCCTGGTTTCACAACTGCCGAGTCACTTCTGGACAGTGTAATGACATAGATTGGGCTTTCCCAGTTCAGGTGTTTTCGGCTGCAACGTACCATCTAACGGGGTACTGGCTGTTGGTGATGGGGCTTGTAGTCCAAGATACATCAAGGATGCCAAATTGGGGGAGGAAGGAATAGATATCCCTGTGGTAGAACTGTTACCTCCTACAAAATTTCTGCCTGCCACATAGCTTTAAAAACCCCAGAAAAGTAGTTTAAAAGAACTGAGTTCATAATGATCTCTTGAGAACCAAACACTACAAATTATAAAACTAGTACAGTGCAATATAGCAGCTCAGTGAATGTTCCCGTCTCAGATCTCCCTTAGTTATGAACTACGTGATCTTAATCCTCTTTTTCTTGGTAATATTCTTTCAACCTCAGCTTTCCACCCTTCACAATGAGGTGTGTAACACCCCAAAACTAATACGTTATTTTGGTACTTGAGGCAGAATATTTCACAAATAACGTTCTCCACTCACTGGCTTGATAAGTATGATAAATTTAAAAACAGCTTTCTGCTACCTTTCCCAACAGCCAAAATCACACACTTGGAACAGCCACTTCACACTGCTGAAAAGCAGGGCAGCCTGTAGCTAAAGATCTCCTTCATTTTGTGCTGTTGGGCCAAGGGATGGTGTGTATGAAATGCTTTTAATGGTCGCAAGAATCTCTTTGAACACTTAGTACTATTCTTAGGAATGTTAAACTGGATATTGTTCTAGTGACCATCCTGATAATTCAAGAAGGATGATTCTTATAATTTTGTATTGGGGGAAGGAGGGTATTTCATGTTTTGCCCATTCTTTTAGATGTGAAAATGTCACATGAATATGCACTCTTTTTCTCTTGTTTTCCTGGTGTAGGGATTCCCAAAACTTGTTGGAAGCAGCCAGCCAAGGGGCTTCTTCCTCGATTCCACTGGTGGCAAACATTGCGGCAAGTCTCATTGCGTTCCTTGCCTTGCTGTCTTTCTTTAACGCAACTTTGTCTTGGCTGGGGAACATGTTCAACTATCCACAGTTAAGCTTTGAGGTAAGGCATTATTACATGGAGACTTGTTAAAAGAATGGTATTTTCATGTCAAGGTGGCTAGTATTTGCATACCATGCTAGATGTGTTGTTCAGGACAAACAAATATGTTATTCTGCTATCTGCACATCATAACTCACGGGGCATTTTTCCAAATGTTATTCCTGCTCCTATATAAAGCTCATAGTGGCTCCTTAGGCAAGGACGGGCAAAGTGTCGCCAGACTGTAGCTCCCATCAGTCCTTGCCAACATAGTCCATGGTGAGCAATGGTGGGATTTGCAGTTCAGAAATATCTGAAGGGCCATACTTTGCCGATCTCTGCCTTAAGGTAAGAGAAGGCAACCTTTTTTGCCCCCAAGAACTTTAGAAGAACTCGCCATAGTTAATTTGGGCAGCATCTAGATCATGAACACTGAAACTATTCTGCTCGCCAGCCTCGCCAGCTCCTGGTTTCACAACTGCCGAGTCACTTCTGGACAGTGTAATGACATAGATTGGGCTTTCCCAGTTCAGGTGTTTTCGGCTGCAACGTACCATCTAACGGGGTACTGGCTGTTGGTGATGGGGCTTGTAGTCCAAGATACATCAAGGATGCCAAATTGGGGGAGGAAGGAATAGATATCCCTGTGGTAGAACTGTTACCTCCTACAAAATTTCTGCCTGCCACATAGCTTTAAAAACCCCAGAAAAGTAGTTTAAAAGAACTGAGTTCATAATGAAGCCAGCAGTTGGTGTGGTTGTGGGAAGGGGCCCAGCATCTCCTTGACTCTTTCACACAACTTTCCTCTCTATTCCCTTTTTTGCTCTTATACACGTACATGCACAATTTTCTCTCTTTTGTTTAACCTCAGACATTAATATCTATGTGCATGCACAGCCTTCACACTTGCTGACTCACTCTCAAAGAAAGAAAATTGTTTGGACTACAAAATTCCAGACCCCTTTAGGCTGCTCAGGGGAGTATTTATTCTCAAGTTATAGTCCAAACAAGCAACTATCCCAAGATTTGGTGACACACACATTCCTCTGTCTCTTTCATGCTATCTTCCACATACGCAAAACTAAAGCAGAGATAGGCAGTGGTAGTCCTCACAACATTATACAGCAGGAGTAGAGAACCTGTTCTCCTAATGTTAGACTGCTTCTGCCAGAGCCAGTGTGGTGTACTAGTTCAAGTGCTGGGTTACAGCTCTGGAGATTGGGGTTCCAATGCCCCACTCATCATGAAATTCAGTGGATAACCTTGGCCAGTCACTCAGGACAACAGCTGTTGGCTACAAGCTGCCTACAGTTGACGGGGGGCCCCTTAGGATAGTGTTGTTCAATCACACTTTCTGCCTCAGCTTTGCATTGCTCTTAGATCCACAACAGTGCCTAGGAGCAGAGCAGATTATCATTTCTGCTACATCTTAAAGCCCTAATTATTATATTGACATTTAACCTTGATGGTAGCTTTTCTTTGATGGTTGTCCATTCTACAAAGCTTCAGTGGGTGTGATCTTTAGAGACATTGTAGTAGCTCCTTAGCTCCAAAGAGATGGGCACAAACCGCCAGTTTGATGGCTCATGGTAGTTCAGCCAACAGCCAAACAGATGTTCTGCAGTTTCAACAGGTGCCCACTCAAAGGCAGCACCTGGAGGAGGTTGGGCAGGGAAACTGGAGTGCTCCTTCTGAGTGGAAACCTGCTAGATGGAGTGGGATGCTGGACCATGGAAGATCTGTTCAGCCATTGACTGGAGGTTCGTGCTCATTTGCCAAGAAACTGGTGTGAGAAACACCAGTAGGCCAATCAACAATCTCTATGTCCAGTGTCAACCTTCTCCCTGTCTCATGTGCTTTCTACAGATCATTTGTGCCTATGCCTTTATGCCATTTTCTTTCATGATGGGAGTAGACTGGGAAGACAGCTTTATTGTTGGTGGACTCCTGGGTTACAAGACCTTCTTCAATGAATTTGTGGCTTATAAGCAGCTTTCAAATTTGATCCATCAGAGGAAAGCAGGAGGGGAAATGTACATCAATGGTGTCAAACAATATTTAAGTGTAAGTATTCCTTGCACAGTGCATTGTTTCATAAGACCCAGTTCCTTTGTAGATAAGGTTCAGTCACACCAGACCGAACTGATCTTTAAACTGCTGTTGCTATATGACATCAAGTTGCTTCTTACTAAGCCCACCACACACACAGAGACACACTTATATGAATCTGAAAGCAGCTGTAGGCTTTGGAAAGGTGGATTTTTGATGACAATTCTGAGATGTATAGTGCTTTCTTTCTTTCTTTCTTTCTTTCTTTCTTTCTTTCTTTCTTTCTTTCTTTCTTTCTTTCTTACTTACTTACTTACTTACTTACTTACTTACTTACTTACTTACTTACTTACTTACTTACTTACTTACTTACTTACTTACTTACTTACTTACTTACTTACTTACTTACTTACTTACTTACTTACTTACTTACTTACTTACTTACTTACTTACTTACTTACTTACTTACTTACTTACTTACTTACTTACTTACTTACTTACTTACTTACTTACTTACTTACTTACTTACTTACTTACTTACTTACTTACTTACTTACTTACTTACTTACTTACTTACTTACTTACTTACTTACTTACTTACTTACTTACTTACTTACTTACTTACTTACTTACTTACTTACTTACTTACTTACTTACTTACTTACTTACTTACTTACTTACTTACTTACTTACTTACTTACTTACTTACTTACTTACTTACTTACTTACTTACTTACTTACTTACTTACTTACTTACTTACTTACTTACTTACTTACTTACTTACTTACTTACTTACTTACTTACTTACTTACTTACTTACTTACTTACTTACTTACTTACTTACTTACTTACTTACTTACTTACTTACTTACTTACTTACTTACTTACTTACTTACTTACTTACTTACTTACTTACTTACTTACTTACTTACTTACTTACTTACTTACTTACTTACTTACTTACTTACTTACTTACTTACTTACTTACTTACTTACTTACTTACTTACTTACTTACTTACTTACTTACTTACTTACTTACTTACTTACTTACTTACTTACTTACTTACTTACTTACTTACTTACTTACTTACTTACTTACTTACTTACTTACTTACTTACTTACTTACTTACTTACTTACTTACTTACTTACTGAATTTATATCTCGCATCATCTGGCAACCAGGCCACTCTGGGCTGCTAACAGCAATATCAGCGACAATATTAAAACACGATAAAAATTAAATTAATAAATAAACAAATAGGGTAAATTAAAACAGATGGCATTGAATGTGGTAAAAAGGGTGATGAAGAGGATGGCAAAAAGGATGGTAAAAGGGAGGCCGAGATCTTAATGCTCCAGGAAAACCTGGCAGAAAAGCCAGGTCTTCAGTGCTCTTTTGAACCCAGCCAGCGAGGGTGTCAAGCGGATCTCAATAGGCAGGTTGTTCCATAGGCGGGGGGCGACCACTGAGAAGGCCTGGTTTCTTGTTCTTTCTCTCCGGGCCCCCTTCGGGGTCAAGGCTCTCAACTGCTCTGCCTGTGAAGAACGGGTATTACGGACAGATCTGGCTGGGAGCAGACATTCTGATAGGTAAAGGTTCCCCTTGACAATTTGTCCAGTTGTGTCCGACTCTAGGGGGCAGTGCTCATCCCCGTTTCCAAGTCATAGAGTCAGCGTTTGTCTGTAGACAGTTTCCGTGGTCATGTGGCCAGCGCAACTAGTCACAGAATGCCGTTCCCTTGCCACTGTGGTGGTACCTATTTATCTACTTGCATTTTGCATGCTTTCGAACTGCTAAATTGGCAGGAGTTCTGATAAGTACCGAGGTCCTAAACTGTTTAGGGCTTTTAATGTTATCATCATAACCTTGAAGTCGATGCAGAAATGAACCAATTGCCAATGAAAGGTGGCCAGAATGGGGGAGATGTGCTGGAATTTCTTTACCCCAGTTATTAATCTGGCTGCTGAATTCTGGACCAGTTGAAGTCTCCGCATCAGCCTCAAGGGTAGCCCCACGTAGAGTGCACTGCACTAGTCTATTCTTGAGATTATGAGGGCATGAATCAGCATTGTGAGTGCCCCCACGTTTAGCTAGGGACACAGCTGGGCAATCCTCCGAAGATGGAAATGGGCTGCCCAGACCACAGATGCCACCTGGGTTTCTGTGGTGAGATATGGGTTCAGATTGATGCCCGAGCTACAAACCTCACTCTTTGTGAGGAGAGTCACTCACCCAAAGGAGAGGGAGTTTCCCAACCCACTGATGCCAGGACCGCCCATATTCAAGATTTCTGTCTCCAGATTCAGCCTCAGTCCAACCTTCCAAGTTTTGGTTTTATCCTACAAATTGTCTCAATCTTTGAGAACCCAGATCTTCTCACACTTTGATTTCCTCATCAAAAAGACAGTATTTTCTTTTGGACTGAATAATTTCATACTGAATCAAAACTGAGGGTTCAAAGCTGGTTTATTTGCATGACCACCATTTCAGAGTGTCAGGAAATGGATGACATTGATCCTGACTGGTGCTTTTCAGCCTTTTGCATCAAAGAACCTGGGTCCTTCTGTGAAAGAAACAAAAAGCCCACATTTTCAAAAAGGAATCTGTTTGTTCACAGGCATTCTGTTGTTTCAGTTATTACTTACAGTATGTGGACTTAGCATTCAGTGGGTCTGCTCTTAGCTTGGACTAGCAATAGAACAGTGGCCAAAGGTTAAAAAAAAACAATGCCGTAGTACTACTAAAAGTGGTACTACTCCTAGATGATGTGTGCATAGAACTCAATAATACTTTTAACTGCCATTTTATTCGCAGTGAAGTGAGCATCTCACAGCTTCATCAAGAGCTGGTTGAAAAACTGTTTTGTCATTCTTAGTGAGTTTACTCCACAGAGTGGAATGCAACCTGCTTCTCAGTACGTTCAAATACTTCTCCAAATTATCTCTTGAAGTCAGACTAGGTTGGGGCAAAGACTATGCCCACTAATATAGCAACTGGCTGTTGGCTATACAGGCTGGGGAATTTGGGAATTGTAGTCCAAAAAGGAAAATATTCTGAGTTCTGCTGCAAAGTTAGGGAACATCTGCTGTTTCACTCTAGTGGTTGCACTTAGGCTTGACCCTGTATCTCCTAAATGTTTCCTCACTGCAGTACCAGTATTATGAATAAGTTTCTAGTTTTATAATTCTGGAACTAATTTTCAACATGAAAAATGGTGGCCCAATGGCAAAAGTACTTGGAACATTTGATTTTAATTTATGTTTTCCTCAGAGCTCTCCAATAAAACCTAGGTACAAGTGTCTCTCTTTCTCTCAGAGAGCTACATGTCCACCCCCACAGCCTGCAACAATGAGGCTTCCTGTCTTTCAATCATTTCCAGGAAAAAGTATGCCAAATGAGGCCTTGAAATGCTTTCCCCTGGGTATGCACAGAGCAAGAAGAAATATCTGCAAATTGGTTCTAGAAAACATGAGGGGGCACAAATGAGCATCTAATCAACTGAAGTACTAACATGATTTCATTGCAAGCAGGGAACAGCAGGTGGGAGGAGATATGCTAACATACTGGCATCTTTTGCCTTGAACTTGAAGATGGTCTCTTTCAATACCAGATTAATTCACTCAGAGGGAAGGCAGCATTTGCTCCAGGCATTGTAAAAGTCAGGAATGGAGAAAGCTTCATTAAGTTTTGAGAAGGAAAAAAATAATGTCGCTATGCTATACAGATTTATACAATGCTAGCTTGCTTTCTTCAGGCATGTTGTAAAATGGCTGACTATATTTGGTTGAAGTCATACTGGTTCTGAAGTATAGGGCTGGGTGGGGAATCAGATATGTCCTTCAAAGGCTGAAGGTGGAATGTAGTGTCCATAACACTAATAATTCAAATCCAGTTTTTCTCCTGTCTCTATGCTTCAAATAAATTCCATTCTTTGACCCTCACCAGCTAGGGGATTACCTCCTTCCTTTATAGACACATCTTTAAAAATCTCCCTGTGGATCCTGTTCACTATAGACTTATTGACTAGTTATTAACATATGTGCAGGGCACACACCCAGTCATGGCTTTGAGTTTACAAGAGTTGAGCAGGCCTGTTAATGACAGGATACTGTGGAGGTTACTCTTTCATAGGTTCACAGTGGGTTGTAGGTGACTTGATAGCAAAACAACAACAGAATTCACCCAGTGAAGGGGAGTGTGCTGGTCTCATTCCCTTTGTCATTTCTTCCCTCCCAGAAAGCAACTGCCTGAAAAGATTGTCCAATATAGGATCTCCATGTGGGTCTGACCTCATGGCTCACATGGAATGTCTGTGTGGGCAGAACAAGGTCTTAGACAGTCCCTTTCCATAATAAAACAATAAGAGCATGGAGGGCAGAACTAAAATACTGAATAGGGCTAATATTAGACTCATCTGATACAATTTCTGTAACACTTCTTGCTAGCCTAGTACTCTAGATTTAGGCATGAGATGGAACAGTATAATTTGAGATAGTCTAAATTATTAGCTGCAAGCATTTGTTAAAAGGATAATGCTTTACATAAAGGAATGTTGTTGATTATTGTGTTTCTTTTAGAGGAATACTTAGTGACAGGTTCTAGAGACTTTAATAGTTTACATGATGTCACAAACTTCTCAATGACTATTTATCACAGTTAAAGTCTTTGAGCTCAGCCTAGATTAATTCCGGTTGGACTTTCAATTCTCAATTTGTTTTTATTATTTCCCTCAGTTTTGCATCTGTCTTTGCCTTCTTGTTGTTGTGCCATCAAGTCACTTCCATCTTATGGCAGCTCTTAGATGTTTTTGAGAGTTGTGAGATATTCAAGGAAGAGCTTACTACTGCCACCTCCCACTGAGTTTCCATGGCTGAGCTGATACTTGAGCCTAGGTTCCCCCTCCCCCATGTCCTAGTTTGACAATCAGCTATACCACATTGGCTGTCATAGTTGCCTTACACACTTATAACCTCTCACCAGGGTTTGGAAGACACATGTTGGATGCAATGATGTCACCTGTGACATGTTGCCATGGGGTAGCAAGGGTCAACACTATTTTTCCTCCAACCTCTTGCAAATCCACACCCTCATTACAGTATCCAAATGTATAACTAGAACACAAGCAGAAACCTGGAGTCAGGAATTCATGACTAGAAGTCTCTAAAGCCCATTTAGTTGTGCTTTAAATTCAGTTGAGTATGACTGAATAGGGCATGGCTGACCTCCTTAAATGTCAGAACAGAAAGGCATTTCCTTTTTCCTTTTTTTAACTGTTAAAACCTTCAGCTGTTCAGGGTTTAAAAACTGATCAAAATTAATTTGCTTGGCTTGTCTCTGTCTAGAAGCAATAAAGCAATTGTCTTTGTTTTCAAAACCTGTCACTGTGATTTTAGTGGCATTAATTTGTAGCATATACAAGTAGCACATAGTAACTAGTACACACAATATAAAATATGCATAGTAACTAATATGCACAACATAATATATGCATAGCAACTAGTAGACAGTTCTGCCCATAGCATTTCTCTGCAGTAACAATAGTGTCATTTTCAGTGAATTGAAAGGAACTTGGAAGATGTACTTGCCATCGTACAAACACTCAAGTGATGTGTGCACTCACTTTTGCTTCTGTAAAATAGGCTTAATTTTTCTAAGGTATTGTTTGAAAATCCTGTAAAAGCTATTTACTTGGAAGTAGTTTTAGAATAAATGACTTGTATGCAATGAGAAACAACACTTGCAAATCACTTATATTTCTTAAAGTCTTTTTCTTTCGGTATTTATGTGCACAGAACTCCAGTTGTCGAAGCTGCCACAGTGGTCAGGAGCTGTATTTTTCCCACTTCTACAAATTGTGAAAATGGTGGGACTGAGAGAAGGCACTCCTCTGAGGTTGGTCGCATACAGTCAGCACTCCATCAGATCACTGTGGCAGCTTCTTGCAGGTACAGCTCTGTGCATGCACAAATATTAAAAAGGATACTGGCCTACTGTATGCACACTAGCTTCCAATAGGAAATCTTATGAAATTCATGTGCATGTTGTCCTCTGTATAGACACAGGGAAAAATATCAACATAATCAGATGTGACAATGTGTACTTATCCATTTCATGCTGTTGTCTGTTTAGAGGTGTTTTCTGTGTAGAACTGTGTCACATCTGAAACAGCCCTTAGCCCTCAGGCCTCAGGCATGTGCTAATGAATCCATACACGTCAAACATGGAATTTGCTATATTTTGAGAAATCCAAGCCATATGTTTTTAAAAAAAACATTGATCATAATGAAGCCACTCACAAAGTGAAGTACGGAGATGAAATTTATTGCCTCAGCTACAAGTAATACGTTTCATCTTTATATGCATACAAAAATACATTTATTGTACATTTGTTCTGTGTTTGCAAGAAAGGGAGTTCAAATAAAGTAGTTAAATCCTATTTTAGTACACTATACAGATCAAAATGGTAAGCCCATGTAATTGTATTAATGTGATTGAATTCCAGGTCCGATCAGAAACAATCGCCACGTATGCCCTCTGCGGATTTTCAAACTTTGGTTCTTTGGGAGTGGTAATTGGAGCACTGAGTAAGAATGCTATATATTTCTTTTCTGGAGCATTTTATTATACATAATTGCATTTTACAGATCAGGTCCAGGCTATCTGAAAGACCATATAAACCATATATTTTTATACTTAGCACAAGTATTCAAATTCTCGGGGAATGTGTTCTCTTGGTCCCACCAATGTCAAAATGTGAGTGTGGAGTTGGGACAAATACTGACACCACACCAGAGCTTATGGGAATTCTTTAATACAGTTTTTTTTCTTTTTTAAATGTAAATGTTTTTGTAAATCAGAGGTTATTGCAGGCAAAGAATAAAAGTAAGTGGCCCAAATGAGATTAGTACTGTAGCACAGAAGGATATGCTGTATATCAGTAAGTCCTCTTGTGACATGTATGATCCATTGAAGGGCCTTATGTGAGTAGCTCAGGTTACTAACGAGCTTTTGTCAAGTCCAAAATTTTGGCCAGATAATTATTTCTAAGGAAATTATAATCTGCTATCTGACTATTACAGCACTTTGAAGTAAATGCACTTTGGAAGTACTGAGAGTTAGAACCTTGAAACGTTATGATGGAGATACATCCTAGTTTATACTTCTGGAACTAGACAAACAAAGTAAGGAGGAAATACAATTAGAAAATGAGATACAGTTAAAAAAAAACTTCACAGTGTACCCAAGGCCATTACAGCAGATATGATCTCTTCACTAGTTAATAGTTAGGAAACTATTTTGGTTTTGTGGTGTTTTCGTTTTTTCCTGAAATCAGAATAATCTCAGAACTGCAGAACTGGAAAGGACCCTATGGAATCATCGAGTCTAGCCCCCGTCAAGGAGGCACAGTGGGGAACCAAACCCCTGACCTCTGGCTCCACAGCCAGATGCCTTAAACCAGTGGTCCCCAACCTTGGGCCTCCAGATGTTCTTGGACTTCAACTCCCAGAAATCCTGGCCAGCAGAGGTGGTGGTGAAGGCTTCTGGAAGATGTAGTCCAAGAACATCTCGAGGCCCAAGATTGGGGACCACTGCCTTAAACCAAGAACTACCCATTACACATTATAGTAGAATAGCTGAATTACTTGTAAGCAAATCTGAGGCTAGAATAAAATTTAAAAATGCTGAGTTGGAAGGAAGTAATTGTACAAATCAAGTGCAGCCTTTGAAAAAAAATTATGAAAACAACAATGCTTTGAATCATTTTGATCACTCCGGTCCGAAGTATTCTGTTGCCTGTGTTAAGAGTAGCAAATGTCAGCCACCCAAATTAAGGTGCATAGCACAAAACCCAGTCAAAATATTTTAGAACAAGCAGAAAGTCCCTCAAGTATCTCCCCATATTTCTAGCAGTAAGCATTCATTTATAACAAATTAATGATTTACTAGTCTTTCCTGGTAACCAAAATCTGTTGCCAGAAAGTAGCTGCATAGTGGCCGGCTCTGTTGAAATATGATTTATAATTTGCAAGAGGGAGCTAGGGGGAGATATGTATGTTACAAAAGGTATTGTAAGAAAGGTATCTTCATGGGCATCAGAAATTCAAAGTGGTCTTGGCAGGGTATGGCTTTATTGCAATACTATCAGCAGTTTACCAGCATTTTTCATAGCTATCCAACCAAGTTTATCTGGCACAGATAAAAATTTTAGTAAGTGTTGGAATTACTCTAGAAAGCATTATAACTTTTAGAAAAACAATAGAATGAATACTAGATCATTACACCTTGAACCCTCAATAGTTTTCCTCAAATGTGTTCCTCAGCATCATTGGCACCCTCCAGGAAGAGAGACATTGCAAGGACAGCCTTCAGGGCTATGATTGCTGGAACAGTGGCCTGCTTCATGACAGCTTGCATTGCAGGTATACTACCTTCATGTACTACTGGATGGCAGTGGTGTGTGTGTGTGTCTCAATTTGTATCTTCAGCTACTAGTAGTATATTAAGCCTTTTTGTGCTGTTAAAGGTATTGTTTACATGGTCTGGGAAATAAATGATAGGCAGTGAGTAATGAGAATGAAATGTTGGTAAGAATTATTCTGATTGGCTGGGAGAAACTAGGGGAGGAAGATGGTTGTGGAGTCTGAAGTCCAAGACACAGTCTGCTGTGGAGAGATGGGGAAGAGGGTGGTTTTTCAAGTGTGGGGTCTGAGGGAGTGGTCAGAGAGAGAGACTGAGGAGTGAATGATATAATACTAGTGAAAGATCATGCTGAATGGATTTAAAGCCTCAGAATAAACATTTATTTAGCACTATTATGTTAATAAACGTTATTTGTTCTATTCAAACTGAGTGGTGCTGAGTTCATTTCCCATGTGAATGACTACATGAGTGCTGTTATAAGGGCCTGAGTAAAGGGTCAGATACACATACATAGATGCAGCTAAAGGTTGATGACAGGAAAAGAGGAAGAGAGGAAATAAGTGATTATTAAAGAAAGCATGTTTATTTCTATGATGATTTAAAGAAACCATTACCTAAGTAGTCAAGTGACAAGACAAAGGGATTTGTGATATTGGTTTGTTAGAGAATGTGTGTGACACTGCATGCACACACACACACACACACACACACACACACACACACACACACACACACAGAGAGAGAGAGAGAGAGAGAGAGAGAGAGAGAGAGAGAGAGAGAGAGATATGTTGGGTGTTCTGAAATCATTTGAAGGATGTACTTATCTGAAAAAAATTGGAAACCACAAACAGGTTGGCAAGAACAAAGCAACAGCAACAACAGTGATCGAACAAACAGAAACAGGGGTCAAAATAGTTTGAAATAATACAGTTTTTCTTTTTTCCTCCCTTTCTTTCTTATCAGTGGTTTTAAAGAAATCTCAGATATGTATTGTTGAAGGCTTTCATGGCTGGGATCTGATGGTTTTTGTGGGTTTTTCAGGCTCTTTGGCCCTGTTCTGAAGGTTGTTCCTCCTGACATTTTACCAGTCTCTGTGGCCGGCATCTTCAGAGGACAGGAGTAGGAACACAGAGCATGGACAGAGTTCCTACTCCAGTCCTCTGAAGATGCCGGCCACAGAGACTGGTAAAATGTCAGGAGGAACAACCTTCAGAACACAGCCAAAGAGCCAGAAAAACTCACAACAACCATCAAATCTCAGATAGTTTATAGACCGAGGATAATATATGAGTTTGAAAGAAGTAAAATGGAAGATAAATCCTGTTTCACCTATTTCGTCCCATTATAGAGTTTTTAAAACGGAGAGAACGGCATTTTTTCAAATAGAAATTAAAGGCAAGATATAGCAAAGTTGATTGTCTTTGTTACCCGCATGGATGTCCAACTCTTCCACTGAAATCAGTGGGGTATTTAAGAGCTTAGCTTTGGCTGATTCATGATCTTCTGCTGGCATAATTAAGTTCTGGCAAGAGGTTCTTGGGTACTGCAATTCATAGAAGTGCTGGTAGGAGAAAGCCTCGTTGAAAGTTAGCTTCCTCACCCATTCTCCTCTAGTAGCCCCCCTCCCAGCCCATGCCATCAAAAGTTCCTTTCCCAAGGTTTGGGAGACCCCGTGTTTTTCTGGTCTCCTGGTGATATCCAACACACAACAATGAGTAATTTCTACAACTAGAGCAACAATAATAGTAGTAAAGATCTGGGACCCCAAAAGGAATAAGAATAGTAAAGTTTCTTTTAATAAATATGATGTTCCAAGCTCTAGTTTGGAGTTTGAAAACAAGCAGTGGTTTGTGGGCATATTCTGATAACCTCTGTCATAAAACAACTAAAGGTAGATAGGGTTGTTTGGATAGTACCTAAGTAATATAATAACATCATCAGTTCTTGGAGCATGATCTAAGAGCAAAGTCAGGCAGGTCTCAATGTGATCTGGTCAGTGTTTCAGTGGGGATCAAGTGTGAACCCTGTTTAAGTCACTTCAAATTCCATAATGGAAGAAAGGTGGCATATAAAAAATATGAAATTTAATGAATAAAATGTTTCTATTTTTAATTTTAAATGGTGAACTTAAAAATGCAAGATGTGAACTTGGAAGAAAGCTGAGTTCACGTGGCCGATAAAGAATCCATTGTGACTTCTAGTTAAATATTATATTCGTTTTCATCCTTAGTACAGTTTTCAGTAATGCAATAGAAACTACGTATTTTCTGGAATGTAGTTCCCCTTCTGGTTGCATGCAAGGAACAAAATCTGGAACAAATCTAAATAATTAAAATACAGTTGGATGTATGAGAGAATATTTATACACCTCGAATGGATTTCTAACATCACAGTGAATATACACTCGAAAGTCTTCAGTTCATATTATTTTGCTTTTTGCAAATTTTATTTCAAAGTGAGGCAAAAATAGATGTGGAAAAAATGAGATCAGAAGTTGTACAATGAATTTTTTATGAGTTTGGCATTGTAATTGAAAGGTACAATCATTGCTTAATACATATGGTCTTTCTCTTGCATTTTCAGGAATATTATCTGTTGCAGAAGATCCATGCACTGCTGTATTAGGAAACAACTTCAACATGACTAGCAATAGTACAGAAATAGTTGCATGCTGCTTAAACCTCTTTAACAGGTAATTATAAAAAGGGCAGAGTCTGAAATTTACAGCAATAAGTCAAATTGCTGCTCTTACAAATTACCAGAATACCATATAATCAGACTTCCTCAACTCAACTGTACTTACCTTACCTTACCTTGAAAACCTTAGCAACAACAACAATACATCAAGTCAATTATGATGTATGGCAAACTTTTCAGTGTTTTTTGTATGGAGAATACTCAGAAGTGGTTTAGTATTCCCCTCTTCTGGAGGCCTCCTGGGACTACATGTAGCCCAAGGCTACACAGGCTGGCTCTATTCACAGGAGGCACAAGGGGAATTAAACTCCTAACCTCTGGCTCCATAGCCAGATACCTAAACTACTGAGCTATTATGGTCCGTATAAGTCAGTTCCAACTTAATAACATGTAACAACAACAACATAACAAAAATGAGCCACTGCTTTTATGAAAATATGGAATACGGAACAATGCTGCAAGAGCTTGTGAATACTGCCTGGCGATCCTTTTTTTAAACTGTTGGCACTTAAATTCTTAAATATCTGTGGTTTCATTCCATTCCCTATGTACAGATCGCTATTTGTATCAACATATTAGTAAATCTGGCTACGTATTTCCTCCCCTCTTCCCTTCACCAAATTGGGTAACATTTCATCCATACATTGCTGATCAGGAAGTGTGACTGGATTGTCTTCAGAAGGGAGGGACTGTCTTGTCCAGCAGCACTCCCTCCCCCCCCACCACTAAAGCTCCCCACCACCACTAAAGAAGATGGATTAGCCCTGGCTTGGTCAGTGGTGGGCAAAGTATGAGTCAGCAAATGTTGTTGGATGGCAACACTCTTCCCCATTGGCTATGCTAAGCAGAGCTGCTGGAAGCTGCATCATTTGGAAGTTGGTGCATTGCGTCATCCCTGTTTTATCTGTTACTGGAAAGTTTCTTATGAGGATATTGGCCTAGGAGGGCCAAGTGCTGTTACAAAAGACGGAGGATGGGGAAGTAGGCAAAAAGGCAAGACGATGGATAGAGGAAAGACCCAGAACATAATGGTGGCGTATTACAGACACAGGTTCCAGAGCATACACTTTAGTGCAACTTCAGCTTCCTCTGGCCTTTAATAGAAACCATACTTGGATTTTCATTCCCTCTATCATTCTTTGGGCAGTTTTTCCGCTCTTGCAAAAAAAAAAAAAAAAAAAAAGCTCATGTCTGATTTTTTTAAAAAAAAATCTAGCTAAAATCTGGTTGCCACTGCGAGCATATCTTTCAATTTTGCAGATCTCCTGACTGCCACAAGAGCTTTGCTGGTCAGCACTATGCAGAGCCAGCTAGCTCCTGTTGGATACTGTGAAAAGGCAAGCTAGTTCTGAATTGCGTTCTCTATGGAAGGTTTGCCTAGCCAAAAAGGAATGATGACTGATTCTCAATGAGCGTTCACCAGTCATATTATGTACTTCAATACAAATCCTAAGTTAAGAGTTCTGAGGTTGCCTTTAAGGTTTTGTTTTAAATAACCTAGAAATTTGGCTGTCATGGTAAAGACTAAAGGATATTCAGTATGGATATTAAAGCTTGAAGAACAGTAAAGGCATGACAAAGTGTGCTTGGCGTCATTTGTAAGAATAATAACAATAATTTATAAGGAAAAGTAGAGTGAGGAGGCAACCACATTAACAAAAATGTGGGAAATTTTACTGGTTTGGAGCAGACCAATTCTACCCATTGATCACACAACACAACAGGAAATGTGAATCAACCCAGAGTCCTACACCCTTAACTTCTCCCCACAGACCCTTCTACTTTTTAAAAAGTCAAATCTTTTTTCCTTTAATTCAAATTATGTGATTGCTTTGAACCAATGCGGAAAAGAAGGGCAAGGTACATGTGCATATACACACACAAACACACAGCACCTTTCCCCTCGTCTTTTAGTGCAGCCGTTTAAATCATACAAACTGGAATTTGCTGTTACAATTTCACGGCGAGTGAATGTGAGTGAATTCGTATTTTCCTCACTGTGTAGTCACACCCTCAAAACGTAGAACAGTTTTATCATGACTTTTTCCAAACTCACTGCATTTTCCAAACTCATTGTGGGGAAAACACTCATTTTATTTGAATACTCTCAAACTCATTTAACATGTTCTAAATTACTTTGTGTGTGTGTGTGTGTTTTAATTAAACCTTGTTTTCTCTTTTCCATTAGGGCAAATGGTTCCACAGAAATCTTCTTGAAAGCAAGCAACAACTTGACTTTGGCTGGATGTTGCACTCTTCTGTACCAACCCACAATTAACTGCAGCTGGACCACTGCATTACCTTAAACTCTAGACATTTTTCTATGAGGAATATGTACAGACATTTTGCCTCACTGGTGATTTGACAGGAAAAGGATGATGGTAAACTCACCTTGTTGCTGCTGTACATAAGATTTATCTTGCTTTCAGTTTAAACTAGATTGGCAGCTAAGGACATCTTTCAGCATAAATGGAGTCAATGGGTAAGTGTTTGTGCTCCATATTTATCTTTGACCTCTTGGGTCATAATATAAGTACGTATGTGATAAAGAAGAAACTTAAATATTTGCCGCTATTTCGAAGGCGTATTTAAAACAGCTCAGAAAATCTTTCTTGCTTTTCCTTCTCGACTTACGAAAAAACTGGAAGAGAGTTTTCAGTTGAAAATCTGGAGCACTTTATATACAGTAATTTCTTCCACTGTGATAAAATTGCCTTACTGTGCTACAAAGTATATATACTTTTTAAAAAAAACTTGGAATTAATTCCATTTATTGCAATGGGACATATATCCAAGTAGATGGGATGTGCATTGCCTTACTTACTCCGAGGATTAAAAAACATGATTGTAGTTTTGTCATTACAGGAATTAAGAGATCTTCTGCGGAAGAGCTCAGTATGTGCCCATCCATTAACCCCACCACTATCAGAAATCATCTAATGCACACATGGAACTAGAAGGACAGAGCTTTGTCTCGTTTAAGGCATTTGTTTTTTAAATGTTGGTGCCAAAACACTAAAGCAGAATGTTTCTGGAAACTGCAAGGTTGGTTTCATGTGCCAATCCATGGAAGACATTACACATTTCTTAATTGAGATTTATATCAAAACAACCACATGACCAGAAGTCCTTCTTGAAATTCGGGTAGTAGAATAGATGTTTTTTTAAAAAAATCTAGATCATTTTAAATTAATGGAAAAGCAGACATATGCAGGCTTTTTGGATGGTAGCTTTATCAGTGACTTCCTAATGAAGTCACTGATAAATGAGAAAAGTGTTTACTGAATCAAGTTTAATATCAATGGTTAGCACTACAAAATACCTTTCATTGCATTATTATCAGTACAAGAAAAACCTCTTAATATAGGTACAGAAACAGATCTCACAGCAACAGTTTACAGGATCAAAGAAGAACAACAAGGTTGTTTATTTATTCCTTGTGATTGCATTTATTCCAGCTAGTTAAACTCCATGCAGTTATTGCTGCTGCTACATATTTATTGCTACAAAATTTAAATTTAAATGCTCCAGGAGTACCTGTTAAACAATATTTTAAAATACAGTATGTGAAGCCTTCCCTAAGCTTGTTTATCAGTTTCACCTCACACAAGGTGTATTGACACCACCCAATCATAATAGTGTCAAATAATTATATAGTTCGAGGGAAGGTAATGAAATAAGGGTCACTTGATGATGGGGTAAAAACAAGGGGTGTTGAGGGTTTTCTCAATCGCCCCCTCATAGAGAAGAGCCAACATGAATTATTGACATTTGTAGAACTTCATTTTAAAGGCCAATCTCTACATTGCTTGTTCTATGAAACCTTCCATTGTAACTGTCCAGTGTATTGTCTATTTTTGTCCTGACACAATAGTTAAAATGGAAATCAGTATACAGTACTCTATGTGAGAAGAATTTTCAATAGTGGGAAAATATATGATCAGCAGGAAAACAGCCTTAAGGAAAGCTTGTAGGTGGTGTGGAGAGCTGTAACTAGCTCCCACAGTTTCGGTACCCTAATGGTTAAGCCTGGGTCATGTGAGACTGACTGGTCCTTTTTAGGAGAAATGTGGGGGAAATGAATGAATGAATGAATGAATGAATGAATGAATGAATGAATGAATGAATGAATGAATGAATGAATGAATGAATGAATGGGGAAGAGAGTGGAGGAACAGGGATAAACACCTGAATCTGAGTGTGCAGTGGCTGTATTAGTAATATACTGAGCCTACCTGCTCTATGCTTCCCTCTGCTTGAAGAAGGTCTGGCATAAGCACTAAGGTTGGGTAGGCTCACGCCCTTCCATTTTTTCCAGCAGATGTAGGTTATGCTGTCTGTATTTCAGCACCCTGGACCAAAGCCCCAGTTGTCCTGATCATCCCTCTTTCTTTATAAACAGGAAACAGTTACTGTTTATATATCAGAAATTGACTGTCATGGGGGGAAAAGTCAAACTAATTGAGTTCTCAGTATAACCACTTTTAGCAGAACAAAAATGTCTTGTTACTGCATGTTACAGAATGAAAAGTGTTCGTGAATTAAATTTGTCAAGGGCCAAATAAGAGTATTTTGATCCTTTCGTTAATAAAGATATTCTGTGTTGTAATAATGTTCTGTTCTATTCTTGAATTTTAAAAAGCATCAATTCACTGCCATCACTATGATTGAACTGGCTTTTTTAAATGTTTCAAAGCATTTTTGTAGGACACACTTTACATTTCTAGGAGAAACATGTTAATTAAAAAGTTTATTCTGACCGGCATGATTGGGTTTTTTATAGAGAGTGTTATCTTTTTCTCTGAATGTACAGTTCTTTGCCTAGCATGTACAGCCTTACTGATTGCTTCTTTGGTAAACACATATCAAAACAAACATATTTTGATCCACTTTTTAAAATATTTTCTTTGATTTATAGGCAAACAGACAACACTCCTCTAATTATTATTTCCAAATCCCTAATATTCTACTCAAAGTTTATATGAATCAATTTTATATTGATTCTTGTCATGCCAGTGATGTATAAAGAAAGGCCGCTTTTCTGTAAAATGGCTATCATGCTGTCAATCTTCAAGGCATTGATTCAGTTCATAAATTCTGCCATAAAACCTGTATCATATATCTTCTTTATCCATTCTGACTTAGTTGGAGATCATTTTTGATGCAGCTGATAATACTGTATACAATTAATTGTACTCTTCTGATGCCACTAACTCTTTTAAACAATCAATCAATCAATCAATCAATCAATCAATCAATCAATCAATAATAATAATAATATAATAATAATAAAATAACATTATTAAGATCCAATGGCACTAAGTGTTTTTAAAGCCCAATTAGGGAACACAAGTTTAGTATGTCTGATATTTATTTTAAAAATTCTGACCGCACAATGCACATGGATATTGCACAATGCACATGGAAGCATGGATATTTTTTTTGCCCAGGAAGTATGTTTTGTTAGAGTTTTTACAACCTTGTATGCTGCCTGAAGGTGGTTTCATTGGGAGGTACCTTTTTGGGCTATCAATCTATCCAGCACTAACCAATCATTCCTTCCCTGCCTCTGAATTCAAAAGGAGTCCCACATCTGCTCAGTGCTTTTCCCCTCTCTAGAATCTGTTGAAAGCAGTTTGCTGAAAGTAGTTATGTTTGTCAGTTTGCTGTTTAATCTGTTCAACTGGAAGTAAAAAAAAGTTTTTATTCTTTCTCCTACCAATATCTCACTGTTATTGAAACTGTAAGGGCCAGTTAAAGAGAAAAGGGATGGATTATCTGGGGAACTTGAGGCTATTCTGCTCTCTGAATTTCTGCACTTCTGCTGTGCAGCTAGAGGGGTTTAACCAGAAATTAAAAAACTCTGAAACAGTTCTTTTGTTGGAAAGTGAGGTTTTTGGATGGCCATAAGTCATTTAGTTGAAATCGCTTGTGAAATTGATTTATTTTGAATTGCTTTGGCCTATGTGAACACCTCCATCAGTGTCAATTGCATCTGTGGAGTTTGTCAAGTAATGAATGCCAGGATCAGGAGAAAGAGCTGCAGAGAAAGGTTGGGTAGGGGAAAGCACTCCCTCCTTCGCAAGCCTAGATGCTGTCAATTATGTCAATTTCTCCTTGCCCTTCACTGGTTGCCTTTCCTCTGGATGCCATCCCACCTCTCCCTCTCCTTCTCCATCTCTCCCCCTCTCTGAGTCTGTGTCTTCATTCATGTGCATTGGGCTGCAGGGAAACCTTGCACCTGCTGACCCAAAAAACATGTGACTACCATGTGACTTTAAACCAACTTCAAAAACCCTAATCCAGCTCTTGATTCATTTCCATAGTGTAACCATGCCCTCATTCGTTTTGTTTGTTCTGCACTGTCACGTCATATCCATCTTATGGTGACCCTGATAGAATTTTCAAGGTATGTGAGATATTGATGGAATTGTTTGCCATTGCCACACACACATCCCAGTGAGTTTCCATGGTTGAACAGAGATTTAAATCCAGGTCTCCTGATTCCAAGTCTGCCACTCTACCCACTCCACTATACTGCACCACATACTGTCCACTCTATTCACTATATGACCTATAGTATTGATTCAGATCACACATTCTTTCCTCTGCTGGTGGCAGGATGTGCAGCTATGGCTCTCCAGATGCTCTTTGGCCTGCAACTCACATCTGCCCTACCCAGCATAGTCAGTGGTGATAAATTACAGGAGTTATTTAAAAACTTGGAGTTTGCCAGTTACCTCCTCTGAGTTAAACAACAGAGTGGTGCAATGCGTGTCACCATGGCATATCTTATTGCCTTTAGAAAGACATACACACCCCATTTTTGACATCCCAACTCACAACACTTCTTTGCTGTTTAGTATTATTTTTAATTGCAGTGGAAAGGAATTCACTGTAGCAGCCAGTAACAGTACTCACTATGCACATGCTACTTTAACAAATGCAACAACAAGAGTATTAGTTATCCCTCTGTAGCAATGTAGTAAGAGACAGACAATGCATATGGTGACATGGGATCTTCCACAATCTTTTCTATGCTATAGAGCAGGGGTAAAAAACCTATTCAACTCCAGATGTTCATCCTTGCTCATTTAAAGCAGCGGCCAAGACAGATCGGATATTAAGTCTACCAATAACTGGAGAGTCACAAACTGCACATAACTTAATGGGCTGTCAGTTTGGTCAGGAAAACAATAAGTAGTGAAGAAGCTTTCAGGCATGGGTTTTATTGATCCTAAAAGAACTGTACAGAAAAATATTTTTTTTCCAGCTGTGGATAACCACTATTTTTCCATTCACAAAGGAGAACCTTGCCCTGTTGTATGATTAAACAAAGTCCTCTACTAGCCATTAAATTCTTAAATATGACAGTGATTAAAAACTCAGTATATGACAGAGATGAAGTTATTATTTTATTACTTGGCCGTCGTTACATTTCCTCTCAAAGCATTGCATGTGGATATCACATTGCAATGCTTCTTCTCTGCCTCTCGGGCAAGAAGCACTAGGTGGCAGGATTTCATCAGGGAAGTTTCTTTCAAGGCTGCTTTCCTGTAGCAGGTTCCAAAGGGTGTAATTTGTGTGTTGAAGAAACCATGAAAAATAATCCTGTGATCTGCAGCCTAAACTGGTGTCAGTTCGTGAATTGCAAAAGAACCATGACTAGGCAGGGTGTGGAAAGTTACTTCTAAAAAGTGAATTAGTTATGATGATCACCCGAAGGTCCCCACAGTAGCTGCCGTGTTTTTTTTTTTTTAATTAAGCCTTCCAGTCTCTCCAAAGTGAGTAAAAAAGTTACCATTGGCGTGGGAAAACATCTGAATACAATAGCATGAGACAAAACTTAAATGATGTGAACTTCCTTCTACGTAGTGAGGCTGCACCACTGTAACTCTAACAGAAACCCAAAAAAATAATAATAGTTGCCTTGCAGAAAGAGTTATTACTTCTCACTAAGTCATAATGTACTTTTTTTTTCTTACCTCCATTACTGGCAAAAGAAACTAATTGCAAGTAACTTGTCATTTGTAACTTATCACACCCAAACTCTGTTTGACTGCTCCTCAAACATCCCAAGTCAACTAGTTCTCTAGCAACTGTCTCTAGATCATTTAAACTTTAATAAATCTCCAGCACAGATTGTTGTTCTTGTTTGCCATCACGTGAGAATAGACTTATAGCAGCAGTGATGGGGCTTTCAAGGTAAATGAGAGATTTAAAGAGTGGTTCAGTCACAGAAGCTGCAGTGAGCTTCTGTGACTGAGATTTGAACCCAGGCCTCCTGACTCCTAGTCTGTCACTCTATCCACAATGCCACACTGGGCATCACAACACAGACTGCCGTTGCATTTTTAATAATATGACCTGTTGTAAGGCTTATAGTCAGGGCCAGCCTTATCATTAAAGAAAATGAGCTGGCTGCCTTGGGCAGCAGGTTTGGGGTATCATTAAAGATCTGTAAATTTATTATTGCTTTATTTTTACTGCAAAGAATAAGAAGAAGTGCTTATGAGATTTTATCCTTCAGGCAGTAAAATAATCTAAGTGACCAAGGATACAGTGAATTTTGCTCCTGTGCATCAGGCAGCAAAATAATAGGGACTAATTCCGCTTGTAGTTTCTCTACAAATCTGATGAACAAAGCATCGAGGGACTTTTTATTTGTAAGATTTTTTAAAACTATTTTTTTTTTTTTTTGCAATGGGGTGTAAGAATGTATCGATCCACAGTTCAGTGGCTTAGTTCTCCGGTTGCAAAGCCAGAAGTTGGAAGTTCAATTCCCCACTGTTCCTCCTTGAGAGGGGCTGGACTGGATCCAGACTGAGGGTCCACTCAAGCTCTGCAGTTCAGTGGTTGTTCCACAAACCACAACAACGTTGATTTCTGCTGCCTGTGTGGCAAAATGTGCTAAGGGAAGTTGGCACCATCTACATGGAAGAAACTTCCACAAACCCCTACCTAATAAGGCACTGGGAGAGGATATGTTTGCCCTGAAACCTGCTTCTTTCACCTGCTCAGAATCAGATGACATTTCCTGGCATAGGAGCACCTCCTGAAAGAACCAAGCCAGACCAGTTTTAGGTGCAGGTGGTTTTGTGGTAAATGCATTTAATGTTGGGGTTTTGTTTATTGTTATTTAAAGGACTATCTATAATTTTTGTGGTTTTGTAGGCAAGATGCATAAAAACACCCCTAGGTAAATCCTCTGCAGGATTTTAAAAGAGTGAGTATAAGGGTTAGGAAGTTGTGCATAATTTTTTGTTAAAAACTTTCATCTGAGACTTAGCAGGTGGAGGAACCACTGTATTTACTTTCAACTAGTAGCAAAGTCATAGAAAGTGTAAAGCTCATTACCATTATCTTGCCTTTATATGGCAATGAGGTGACACATTTCTTCACTTGGAACACTGTTGGTGGAAGAGTAAGCAAGATCATCCCTACAT